TGACCGGCAACGGATCGCAACCCTCAGTGTCACGCCCGTACCAGACCGGGACCGGCCACGGATCGCAACCCTTGGCGTTGCTCCCGCCCCTCACTCAGCCAGTGAGCGGCCGGTCTGTATGTGGGATCCGAACCCTCGGCGGGAGTGCCACCGCGCTTCCCAAGCGGCGCACTATAGCAGTGCGCCACCGGGCCGGCCCTAAAAAATGCATATATTTCTAAATAAAATATTTTCATTGAGCATCAATTTGAAGGGAAAAACAAAGAAAAAATATGCAGGAAAAAAAAAAGGTAGGATCCAAGATTTAAGCAGTAATAGATTGGCTTGGCCATGCATGAATATGTCTTGCCCACCAAAGACACAGTGGTCATTCTGAATTCTTTAAAATACTGGCCTTGCACTTCAGTCCAGGTTTGCTTTTTCTTTTTTACTGTGCCTTGAACATATAGTAATTCATGGAATATCATAGAAGAACGCATTATTTTAAGCCCACTTTAGTTCTCTGAATTTTTGAGGAAAGCAGACTTTTCTGTGAGTAGCTTTAAGGCTGAGGGTATAAATATATACCAATATTTGTTCCTTTAAGAAAGCCTCAATTTTAAAATTTGGGTTTGCATCGTCTTTTGTGGGTCGATGTGAGGAACTGCAATGGTTGCTTTACCTCTTGGCTTACAAAGAAAAACAAGCATTGTTAGGGAATTCCTAAGCTGAACCACAGGGAAACTTGGGGTTGCTTCTGTTCACATTAAAATAAGATGAACTCCCAACTTGTTGTCATGCCAGAGGCATTTTGTTCTGTACCTGCACATGTTTCCATGATTTTCTTCAGAGGCCCGTGAGTGTACATTAGTCCAACAAGAATCCCAGCCAGATGCCCGGCGAAGGAAGTCCTAGGAGGGAAGGAGACCCTTTGTGAGTGTTTGTTCTGCTGCTGATTAGAGACATTCTGTCTTCTCATTAGCCCAGTGCATGTCAATTAGTCACAGTCTGCAGGCTTTGTTCCACATCACGTGTTTCATGCTGAGCAGCATTAAACTCAGCCCAAAGAATATTTCCTACCTTTAAAAAAAACTACAGCAAATAACAACCACCACATGTTTAAAATGCAACACCCCTCCTTGAGAAGAGAAGTGGGCTGGCTCCTCCAGCGCAGTGGAAGCATTCTGTCAAGACAAGCCATTATAGTGATTTCAGTTTTCCTCTGTACCTCTTATCACAAAACGTCAACGAAATCAGTTTTTTTCTGTTCACAATTAAATCTGGAATTATCTAGCCATTGTGAGGGATGATGAATGTCTATGTGTGATCCCAGGAGAGCAGATTGCTACACTTTTATACACCACTGACTAGTGAAGCTAAGAGCAAGTGAAACTCAACAAGAGACCGAGATGCCCACAGGTATCCCCCCCACACACCCGCCAAAGCAGTCTTCATATATATCTTTCAGTTGCTCAGCAAAACAAACAAAAATTTAAACTTCAAGTTTGTAAGATGATTTCGGGCATTAAATTGGTTCCTCTCTTCTTAAACTAGCATCGAAGACTGGGATCAT